AATATCTGTCTCTCTTCCACAGTGTGCCTTTGTCCTGACTCACCCCGAGTCAGACACAGCAGATGGCCTCCCCACCACGGGCCTGGGGTTCTTGCTGGGGTTTCTTCCTTCCCATTGCTGCCAAAGAGCCTGCTCATAGTGGGGGAACCTGATTGTTGAAGGTTTTCTCTGCATCATTGTAGGGTTTTTACCTTACAATAAAATGAGCCTTTAGGCAACTGTTGAGTTCAGGCTGTATAAAAAACACAATTAAACTGAGCTGACCTTTGACCTCCCAGTAAACCTCTCAGGTCCACACGGCACTTGTTTAAACTGCTCAGCACTCTCACACAGCCTCCTGTCATGTAGCTTCTCCCCAACACATTTCACAACTTGGCTCACTTTGATTTTTCCCACGTAAATTAATGATAATAAAATATTATGAACAATATAATAATGTTATGGACACTGGAGTGTTCTGTGGCTACAGCACCACCAAACAAAAAGTGATGATCAGAATATGTTTGTTAATATTAGCACCTTGTGTTACGTCTTATTGCCAGCTTCAGTTACACGGGGCAGAAATCTATTTAGGCTAGCGCCATTTACAATGCTGGTGTATGCCGTTTGGGCGGACCCTGACATCACATCAGTTCATGCGCATGTGGCAAGCCTTTCTCTCAGTTTCTAAACCTAACGGAGCTTCGCGATAACGCAGAAGATTGATAACGGAAACACTTCACTGTCAGATGGTCAGGATGAGCCTTTCATCAGTGTTTGTGTTCTTTCTTCCTTTTATCTGTGAGGGGTTGGGAGCACTGATCCAAACCACTGTGGGGGCAGATGTGGAGTTTCCGCTCTCAGAGGAGTGCAGGAAGGGAGAGGGCACACTGTATCAGCGGCTGGATGATGCCAGCACTCAGCTCATCGCATCTCTAAATGGTTACTGGAAGCCAGGGCGAGATTACACTGACCGTGTGGTCGTAGGACGCGATTCGTTAAACTTAACAAATGCTAACTTCAATGACAACGGACATTATGAGTTTACCTGCAACAGGAAACACTTGGAAGCTTACAAGCTGGAGGTATTTGTGCCCTCTGAAGTTGCTGTATCCCAGGGTGGGGATGCCATCCTCCCGTGTCGCTCCGTCACAGCGGGCCAGTCGGTGAAGTCTGTGCGCTGGAGGAGAAACGGGGAAGTACTGCTGGAGCTGAATGGTCGGACAGGGGAAATCACATACGGGGATGACTTTAACAGAAGCCGGGTATCGATACCATCTGACTGGGACCGACGGGCAGACCTGTCCCTCACCATAAAGGGAGCTCAGCAACAAGACGGAGGAGTTTATTACTGCGACATAGAGAAGGCCGAGAGACACCGCTCTGCTGTCCGCCTGCGAGTGCGCAAACCACCGGTAAGTGCACCACACCCTGCTCTGTCTTGCAAACCGATTGATTTAGAGCAGAAACGCTTTAAATACAACATCTGCACTTGATGCCTTGATGACTTTCTGAGTGTGAATAA